GATCTAATTTCCTATCAAATTATGTATTTTTAAGTTAGCCACATTACGACAGCTAGTGGTTTTATTGCTGTTAGGCGTTGCCAGATTTTTCTTGCCCTCTCCACACTGCACAGCACCACAGTGCAGCTGGAGGGATGCATGTGCAGTAACAACGCTATTTCTAGAAAGGCCAGAACCTGCAAAGCCCGAGATCTTCCTGCTGCTTCAGTCCAGCCAGAGAGCACATTAATCAACTTAAAAACCTGCCTCTTTGTGCTTGTGTTACAGACGTGTATTACTGTAGTTATTAATATATATTTGTATATACGGCCACCGGATTACCTAATAAATATTATATTTCTATAGTATGATATTGCATTAGATAATTAATAAGTATCTAACTAATATTGGTCCATATGAATACATGATTATAGATTTGGCAAGTCAAATGAGCGCATGTCATTTTGCAGCAAAATGGAGCACAGTAACTCTTGCCTGAAGCATAAAAATATCATACCAAGAGGCAAGGGATTCAGGGACACAATTAGGAAAGAAGCAGCATGGTGATACTGCAGGTTGTCCTGTAAAATACTCTTGAAACAGCTATTCACTGTTCATGACTATTCTAAACACAGGACTTTTTTTTTTTTTTTAATAAAAAACAACTTCTTTAACTTTGATGAGAGCTAGAATTTCTACCTAGGATAAACCTCTCGGGTCAGTTACCCAAATTATCCCTTCTCAGCCTACACTCTGAAGAGACTGGGTTTGAATTTCACATTGACAGTCAGTGATTCAATCCCTGTTTTTCTTTCAAGTCTCTCAGATAAATGGAAGGAGATTCAGGTGAGGCCCCTGCTTGTAATGAGCAGGGCAAGGCAAGAAGTGTCCTCTCTACAAACAGTCCAGGCAAAGTCACTATTCAGGGCCCAGATAAATCACTCCATTTGTTTCGAACACGCATATTTCAATGAAAGGAAATGCTTTTTTTCTTATCTTGGACACCAACCCCTCTTTGAAACTTGCCCAGACAAGATTTTCTGTCCCTGTGGAAGAGCCAGAAAGCACCAGCTGGCACGCAGGGCTGGGAGCTCAGCATGGCTGGTGGGCAGGGAACGATGGCTCTGAACAACCTTCCTGCTTCCTGAAGCCTGGAAAGCATGGCAACTTTCGGGGGGGGGAATCAAGCCGCTGATTTGGATCTAAATATGGATTCAGAAGTTTAAATTTCTGACTTTTTTTTCTTTTATTGTATTAGCCTTTTAGCTGGAAACCATGTCTGTGTCCCCCATCACCCCTTTCAAGTTAATTTAAAAAACTTTTTTTAAAAAAAAAAAAAAAAAGAAAAAAATTGGAACAGTCAAGTACTTTAGATGCGTAATTTCTTAAGAAGGTGACACCACACAGCTCACTGCAAGTCAAGTGCTACAACCACTTACTAACAATGACTCACGGCAGATTCATTACACATTTTCTTTAGTTTATGTATTTTACCCGTCGAGGCTAGGATGTCAAAAATAAGAAGAAAAAGAAGAAAAGGTGAGGAGAACCACAGGGCTGCTTGTCCGGAGCCGCCACCGGCACGCTGCTCACCTGGAGACTCCCGTGTCCGCTTGCGTTCCAGCAGGGAAGAATCGGGACATGGCTCCAGAGAACACCAGCTTTCACGGTTTATCTGAAAAACAGACCAGAGCAAATCAAAGAAAGGCCAATGTCGCTAATGTCCCCGTTAGCCCCTTCTGCAATGTCACTCTGCGTTGACCAGCAGATACATAGTTGTGGCTTAATTTTGCCCCAGTAATAAAAACCTCAAAAGTAACTTAGGACTTTTTTTTTTTTTTAGCATCACTAAAAAAAACATTAAAATATGCCAAAAAACTTTATTTCCCCGTGGAAAGTATGATTTCAAGGTGGCTACCGCTCAAGGCAGGAGTTCAGAGGGAGGATGAGCCAGCGTTTAAGCTACTAGTTGAGGACTGAAGAAATCTGGCTTCAATTCTCACTTTCATTTGTAGTGGGACTGCAGGCAAGATATTCCTCTGCTTTATGCCTTGGTTCACTATCTACAGAATAGCAATTCCTTACCACCCATATTGCTGTAAAGATTATTACCTTAAAGTTCGTAAGGCGCTCTGATAATGTGGAAACGAGGGCTAGGGAAGTGCCCAGGTCATGGTGAGAACCAGAAGCACTTTGTGTTTGCATTAACTGAAATGACGATGATGTTAGAAACTCCCATTTTAACACTAAGACACATCACATGGTTAATTTCAACATCAGCCCTTATCATCTCACCCTGTCCCTCACCCCTTCCATGACTTCCAGTCTTTCAGCAAGGATGACTGATCTGCTCTCACTCTTCTCCCCCATCTGCCTCTGCTTTACTCTTTCTCACTTGGGTTGTGTTGTCCAACATTTTCACTCTGAAGTCTGCTGGACTATCCACAACCCTTGGCTCATCCAACACGGGCTTCCCATCACTTTTGTCTACAGCTGGTAGACTCTGGAAGCCCCTTTGCTCTCTCTCCTTCAGCAGCTCTGCCGTTCCTCCTAGCCAAACGCTTCTATTTGTCAAACGCAAGCAAATCTCACCTGGACAATCCCATATCACAAAATCCAGAGGTTGTTTCTCCTCCTGACCTGCCTCAACACACAGGATCTCGCATGTTATGTTGTAGCTAAAAGCAAGCTACTGAAATGGATGACTTTGTCTGATTTTATATGCCAACTATTTTTCCTACCGTCTTTCTGGTTTTCCTTTTCTCTCCTGAAATAATTTCCTTTTCCCTCTCTCTGTCAAATAGAGAATTTTTGTTATTTACTTTTTGCCTCTGACGCGTCTTCAAATTTCCTCCATAATCCTGCTCCATTTTTGCAGTCCCTTGCTGGATTCTCATCCCCTTGATGCTCTCCTTTCTCCCATGTTATGAAATGCACTCTTTTTCCTTTTTATTCCTTTTTTTTTTTTTTTAATAAAGAAAAACCAAGATTCTCCTACCCTTGACCTGACTTGCTGCTTTGACTAATGACCCACGTCCTTCCTCCCTTTCTCGCTGAGATCATGGAACTTGTTATTTGCAGTCGTTGGCTGCTTCTCCTCACCAGTCTGGCTGCATCCCCCTGCCCTTCACCGGGGGGGCTCCTGCCAGCACCTCCACTCACCTCCTGCTCGCTACACTGCAGAGTCAACGCTCCACTCCCCCGACCTGTCAGCAACTTTCTACAGCACATTTTTCTTCCTTAGGTTTTGTCCTCCTCCATACTTCTGTGATGACAAAATGCGGTTGGAAGCACCTTTGACAGGTCAGCTAGTCCCTTTCTGCTGCTCCAAGTCAGGCTCAACTATAATCTGAGAGGTCTTAATCCGATGTGCCCTTAAAATCCTCCAGCAGCGAGGATGCTGTGACCTTCCCCAGTCAGCAACTCTTGCTGGGTGAGACAGGGAAGCAGCAGAGAAGGTCTGAGAGGGGAAAACTGAGCAAAAGTCTCCCAAGGGAGGCGAAGGAGACCTCGTGCCCTACCAGAGTCAGGTCTCAAGGTGACCTCAGTGCGTGTCCCACCTGGACATCCCTCCCCACCTCCATGCAATTTTACAGGCTATTTTCCATAGATATGCATGCACTGATGTACGCTTACTATTAGTTGCTCGCTGCCTCTGCTCATACATATCCCATTATATACACATGCATCTCAGATCTCATTAGACCCCTATATGTACATATGTCTAAGATCCCATCCTTCCCTGCATCTCTACTCAACGCACATATGCACACACCTGTATGCCCATCTTCTCCCTTTTGCATATATTACATATATATTAAATGAGACTATTACACATATACTAAACGAGAGATGGAGAGAGAAAGAGAGGCAGACTGAAGTCTGAGAAATGCAAGCAAAGACTCAAAACAATGATTTCTTGTTTTCCAAAGTGACATAAAAATGTTGAGTTTTAACTGTCGCACGGACAGTGGGTCACCGTTTGGATTCTTTCAACAGAAGAAAGATACTCCCTGTTCTCAGCGAGGTTGAGGGATATCTAAACTTAGCAATTAAACTTCACTGCAGAATTTATACATACTTTTTAGTCTTAAAAGAGCTGCAAAGTCAATAAATATCACATTATGACTGTAAAGTCAATAAATATCATGTTAATATTCTTTTCTCTCCAGCCAAAGCAGAATCTATTTTGCAGCACACTGTTTTACATTTTATTAAAGGCAAATCTAGAGGTTGAGCCTGAACACACGTAGGAGGACAAAAACAAATGTGCTCAAGTCCACACAAATGAAGGAGTGACCCACTTCAGTTATAAAATCAAATTCTGCCTCCTTCTGACTGGCTTGCAGCTAACTCCGTCCTCATCATATTGAGCCTGATCCTCCTTACTCTTAAACCAATGTGTCTCCATCAAATTTAAGGGAACTACTCCTGATTTATACTGATATCCACTATTGGAAATTGATAATTAAACATCCTGTTCGATAATTAGCAGTAAGAAAGCAAAATAGGAGAGGTTCAAGCCTATCAGTTGATTGGTAATAGAATAAACTATATTAGGCTGAATTAACATTATATTTTTTCCTTTAATAGAACCAATTGAGTCATTCACTGAAAATGCATTATAGACATTGGCATTTTTTCAAAAAAGATGTGAGTATTTTTCCCATTACCCAGCCAGCTCTCTCCTCTGCCCTGTGACTTTGCCAAGTATTGAAAACGTCTGTTTTTTTCTATTAAAAAAAGTAATGAGAAAGTAACACTGAGGTTTAAGGTGCTGTTTCAGATATACCTGATTATGTACAAAATAAAACATTAGGAACTAAGTATTTATCTCAGTAGCCCTAATTCAAGAATAATCATCATCATCATCATCAAAATACAAAGGAAACCACTACCGTATACAAGTATTCCCTATGCCAAAACGAGCCCAGACAGGATTTGAGGGAGGTTTACTGCGTGCTCTCAGGAAACTGGGTGGTCCACAGATACTCAAAACACAAACCCCACTATCCACAGCCCAGGACTGAGTACTGGGATCCCTCCTCAACGACTGAATTCTGCTCGTATTTACTCAGGACTAGCGACTGCAAGTACAGACCGTAAGGGCTGTAGAGAAAATACCATTATAAAAGCACATGAACGTCAGGGGTTGGAATGCACCAGTATGAAGAAATTTGAAATGAGGTTGTCTCGGGATTTTGTGAACATGTGTGCATTATATGTAACAAAACTATCCCTCCCTTCTTCCCTTAATCTCTTTTTTGCTAAGAGATGCCCAACGACAGGACCGCAGGCTGGTGAGCACAGAAGGTGATAAAATCCCCACGCACTTTCTGCCTTGCCCACACTGATTATAGCCCATCGATTCTGGGCATCCCAAGTCTTTGCGGCAGGAGCAGAGGATGCAGCAGTGTTCAGATGGCAGAAGGGAATATGAAACAGCTTCTGGGAACAAAGTTTCAATACGCAGCTTTTGAAAAAACGCCAGGAGAGAACCAGCTATTTTTCCATGCAGAAGCCTGAATGTGTTTATCTGCAGCTCAGACACAGAATGAATCATGGAAGCACATCCTCAGGCACCAAAAACTGAATCCCGAAGGACTTGCTGTTTGCCTGTGAAACACTAGCAGACTAAATGTCCAAAGAGGGCTTTAGGACACCAGCTGGAGTTGCAAGCAGCAGACGGTTTGATTGCTCTTTCTGGGCACACATGCATGTATTTCCTGACTCTCAGAGACGTCTTCCTGCAGACACTGAATTTGAAATTTGATGTGACTTAATGCAGAAACCTCTTTGCATAAGGAAAGGACGGTGCTGGACAACCTGCAAGACAAACGGGGCTGGGATGTCCTCCATCACGCAGGAACAATGAGTGAGCCCAGCCTCTATTCCCAGGCTTTTCCTTCCTCTCCCCCTGCGTGATAGCCTTGGCCAAGGAGTTCGCTAACCCCCTCCAGTGCTCACGGTCCTCTGCGGTGCCTGCCACGAAAACCAGAATCGGGACCTCCTTCTCAGAAGACATTTCAAAAATGTCTACTTCTGGCAGAGCGGAGCGGCGTAGGGCTTGCTAGAAACACTCGCCTCAGGGGCCAGCCGCTACCTGGCTCCGACGCACCTCTCCTACCTTTCCACCCTGCAAAAGTCCTTTTTCTCTCCCTCTGGTTTTATTTTAACTCTTCTTGCCTTCCATTTCACAATAAAGAAAACACACTGCCGTCTCAGAAAATCGTCCGCTATTTTAGAAGTTTGCACTTGTCAACCTCACTGGTAGCGATATAAATCAACATCTCTAGAGCAGAAGGAACCAGATGATTTTAACTTTCATTTCCTAGCAAATCTCTAGAGATTCATCTTCCCTCCATATTGTTTTAACTTTGTCCTAAATTTACAAGTTTCCATTTCTCTCCTTCCCCCCCCCCCCAGCTTCCAGACTAAGTTCTACCTTGCAGCTAAAACCAGATACCATTGCACATAGGAAAATATTTAGTAGAGTAATTCTAGCTTGCTTGGTGTATCATTAAGTACTTGTACACCATACTGAGCAATAACTGACACTAGGAAGGATTTGAAATATCCATTGAAGAACAAAAATAGCAGAAAACAAGCAATACTTTAAATTCAATTATAACTAATTTGTATAATAACTGAAATGATACAATGATTTTTTTTTAT